CTGAGTTCAGGGTGTGTCTTCCCACCTGAGATAACCCAGTCTAGAAACTCCCTCACAGACATGTCCAGTAGTTATTTCCATAACAATTTCTAATCCCATCAAGCTGCCTACCCAGATTAGGTATCCTAGCCAGTTGTTAAATGTTTTGACACAAATTAATATCTATTAGCTCACAAGGAAATGACACTGCTTCATTGAAACTTTGAACACCTCTCAATGATTTCTGGTCTAATTTGTGGAATTTTGTCTCATTCTTCTTGTCAATGCTTACAACGTTAGACCAGTTTTGCCTACAACTCTGGGATCTAAAGATATCAAAGCAATGTCTTCATTTCTCCAAGAAGGTTTATTTCATATTTCCACAGTGTCTTCTAAGTACCTCTTAATGGGTCATTGAAATGATCTTTAAATTTACCCCTACTTCTTGCCTAGCCATTTGAAATGTCAATATCAGAGTAGTCCTCCCTCCAATAGTATTGTTCTACTTCTTGGAAAGAACCACTGTTTGTGCTGTGATTAATGTAACTGATGGGAGTGTGCATGCTTGTGTGTGTGTGCATGTGTGCACCTGTATAGGTGCATGTGTTCATACATGTAAATGATCTATTTTGGCAGACTGGTGGTTGCGTGTAGCATGTGTTTCCTGTGGTCCTACCATTTGTTCTCAGTTGACTCATTTCCTGTGGTTCTACCATTTTTTTCAATAAGATTAAGGAATTCCCATTCTAGAAATGGTCCTCTTTCCCCTTACGTACCCTCAGAGGGTCTCCAACTACTCATTCTTAGCTGGCAGCCATAGCCGCCTAGCCTGCAGATCAGGTTTTCCTGTTTGTTCCTTTCCGTTCCTCTGGCCTTAGCAGGCTGTGTCACAACTCTGTGGGTGGTCGGCTGTCATCACACTCTGCACCTGTCCCAATTAGCAGGCCTGAGCTACTGCCAGCACAGCAGCCCGTGTGCTGCTAACAGCAGCGGTGTGGGGTGAGCTCATGGCTGGCAAGGCAGCACACAGCTGGATGGTATGTGGTGTCTAGACACCGTTTGCTGGGGCTGCATGGTAGGCGAAGGCTATGGTGGTAGAGGTTTCTCACAGCCGTGTTCAAGGTCTGAAAGACGTTCATGAGAACATGACCATCTGAGACCAACTTACCTATCTCTGTTTTAGGAAGCATCACAGGACCTGACACAAACCAGTCACAGAGATTTGTTGAACTGGCATAAGGTTATTTTTGTTTTGTTTTTGTTTTAAATTTGTTTGTTTGTTTGCAATTGTGATTTTCCTTTGTGATCACAATAGTCTAGAATAGTGTTGAGTCCAAGAACATGACTGCTCATTGGATTCAAATCTTACATTGCTGTGTTTCAGCATTGTGACATTGGTTGTGTTTACAAGCACCCAGTGCCTCAGTTCCCTACTCTGCTAAATAGTCTCATTCGTAGCCTGATTTGTGTGATTCAGATTATTATGGAAAACGCTGCTTTGGAAAGTGCTTAGCATATCACTGATGGATGAGGTTAGTGCTCAGTAAACACTGTATTTTTGTTTGTTTTTGAGACAGAAACTTACGTGGTCTTGAACCCACTGTGTGGCTGAAGATGACCTCAAGCTTCTGATTTTTCTGTGGCTGGCTTCCATGAGCTGGGATGACAGGCCTGGGTCACCATAACCAGTTTATGTGGTTCCAAGGCTAGAACTGGCCTTTGACCACTGGGCAAGCTCTCCACCAACTGAGCAATACCCCCAGTATAATACTGTAAACTTTTTACCACCATTCTCTTTATCTTCAACTGCAGTCTTCTACTCTACTACTCACTTGCATAGTTTTCCCAGTCTTATGTTCTGTAATGAGCAGTCAAACACCTATTTAACAAATGAGCAGTCAAACACCTATTTAACAAATGCTGCAGGAGAGTGAATTCAGTCAAAAGTGTGAAATTACCTTTTTAACCCATTGATCTTAAACAGACCTTGTTGTTAGTATTCAGGTATCTGTACTGGCCTGTCCTTGGGGTTCTGATAGGATATGCCCTCAGCTGCAGCCACTAAGACCACCACCAGTGCTTATTCACTATGTTTCCCTCATAAAGGGGCCCTGCCTACCTCCCATGCTCTCCTCTCTCTCTCTCTCTCTCTCTCTCTCTCTCTCTCTCTCTCTCTCTCTCTCTCTCTCTCTCTCTCTCTCTCTCTCTCTCTCTGCCTGTCTCCACTCTCCTGCTGCTCCTGTCCCCAGAGGCCAGTCTCCCCCTTCCCCTCTCCCCCTTTTATGATCCCTTTCCCCCTAACCAAAACCCCCTCTGCTTGAACCCTATTGCATGGCATCTTTCTCTCACATGCTGCTTTGCTCAAATGACGACACACTCAGGGCAGTCTTTGTGAGGACAGGCTCTCCCAGAAGTAACCCTGGGGCCTTTGTAAAGGAAGAAAAGTGAGGAAGAGACCTAAATCTTCTCTCCGAGCCTCGCACTTGATGTCGACACACAGACAGTAATGAACCACACTCCTCAATCCTGAGTTGTGTTGTTGTCATAAGCTGTTTTACCGAAGTCAGGAAACAGGGTCATTTGGAAAGAAACATTCCGTAGCATTTGATGGGACTCTAGCTTTCACGCGCAGTTCATTCGGCAAAGGGACAGACGTGCTAGGGAAGTGAGAGGAGGTGCAACCCACAGAGGTGACCTGTTCTCAGAAGAGGAGGGCGGAAACCCATGATGATCATGCCGGAAGAACTCCAGCAGACTCTGGCGGCCATAGGCTCAACAGAAAATGGGTGAGATGTCACCAGGTCTTCTAGCAGTGGCCAGAGAGCTCTCCTGAGGGGTTGATGAAGCCTTCTTTCTCCCTGCACTCATTGTGAGAATTGTCTCTGAGAGGATAGTTAAGTGAGTTGTTTTCCTGTATCCACGCCCATCTCTACACGCAGGGGTGGGGTGGGGTGGGGCGGGGGAGTTCTATTTTGTTTACTATTTCTGTGGGAGTTTGGTTTGATAATATTAATTGATTATGTCAAAAGAAAACTCAGGAAAAGTTTATAAGCAAGAGGGACAGTCTTGGCCTCCCGTCTTATATGTCTACATTGTTCGTGTTTAACCAGATGGCCCCATGGCATTTGCTGAGAACATCATATTCCAAAGTATAGCTTCCTCACATGCCATAGTATGTCATCTTTGTAGATATATATCCTGATTATGAATAATTTCGCTATCAACTGCACCACTTTCTAATATGGAAGCAAAACTGATTGATTTTTTTCTATTTAAGTTAGAAACAATCTTGTTTCACATGTCAATCCCAGCTCCCTCTCCCTCCCCTCCTCCCCTGCCCTCCCCACCAGGTCCCCCAGTCCTCCACCCAATCTCCACTTTGAACCCCAGGGAGGGTGAGGCCCTCCATGGTGAATCTCCAGTGACTGTCATTTCATTTAGGGCAGGGTATAGGGCCTCCCCCAAGAGTCCCAGCTGAGAGAGCATCCCATATTGTGTCATGGACAATCAAAGTCTATTTGTACACCAGGGATAAATACTACCCAAGGCCCCATAATTTGCACTATCATTTAATTAATAGTTAAATGAACTTCCTTAGGTGTCCACTAGATGGAACTCTTAGCTCACAATCGGCTGTCACTAAACCTAATATTTTATTTTTATTCAGACATTTTTACTACTTGAGGAAGGAATGTAATGCTGAAATATAAGATAATTTTGTGTTTTAAAATCTTAATTTTAAGTAAAATTTAGCAAAGTATACTTGAGTGTGGCCTTTAAATATATGATCTGCATTTTAAAAAGACGATAGTGGCCAAACAGCGATCCTGGATTATTGAATGCACCAAACGAAAGATTTATGTAAGCCTACACTTTGAAACAGGCTGGCGTGTAAAATGTAGCAGCTGTAAATAAGGTGGGAACCTGACTTCTTTAACCACAACTCAACTTCATTGCTCCATTTGCTTAAACAAAGTCCTTAGGTTGTAGTTTACAGAAATCAGGAAACCATTCCCCAACCAGAAAAAGGTCTGAGTTTGACCTGAGCTGATGTCGATTACATGAAAACAAATTGCAATGTGTGACAAGCACTTTCAAAGCAATGAGTACCAGATGACCTGGCTGCCTGCATTTGATGCATGACAATTAGCATGGAATGTCTCCTTCTGCAATCACTAACATTAGCGTTGGCCATATGTGTCAGTGCTCAGGTACAGAAAGATCTTAATGCTTCAAACACAGTTCAGATTCCCAGGAACACAGTCAGGACACTCACTCCAGAGACCACATGTTGTGAGATGCACTCAATCCTACTGGCTATGTCCTGGAGAGAGCAAACCAACATAACTAGCACAGATGTCGTAAGAAGAGCAGCTGTTACCTCTAATAATCTTGGAAAGAAGGGTCGGGGAAGGTGGAGAGTAAGACCCTGTCTTAGCTGGTGAGGGGCTGGTGGCAGGGCGCACCCGGAGCAGGTTATCCAAGGCCCCTTGCCCTCTCCCAAGCACATCATTCAGATGTCTCTGTCTGCACACTCCATTTCAGCAGCACAGTGTTTCTTTGAGAATTACCATCCTTGTCTACAGCTAGGCAGAGCCTCAGACAACAAGGTGTCTGCTTCATGGACAGCTGCAAACAGATGAGCGGAGGAGGAGCAGCTCAGGACGCTCAACTAGGACCTCTAATGCTTCCAAGACTGGGCAGGTACAGGCTCTCTTTGATGACACCTAATGCTGACAACTGCATCCTGTCCTTGCAGCGCTGGTTCCCATGCTGGCCCCAGAGCTGTGAATCTTCGTCTCATCCAAATCCTGGGCCTGATAAAATGGAGAGCTGTTTCCCCGGTAGTAGGTGGAACCACAGGCAACTAACTAACAGGAAAGACAGCTTGTGTGTGGGGAAAAGTGTACTGACACTGCTTGAGTTTAACTGTGCTTTCTACAAGGACTCTGTAGAACATCCCCGCTTAACCACCAATACCACGTTCTCTCCATTATCATAATCACACAGTGAGGACAACGGGAGGGAAGACAGGCCTTTAATCCACTCAGCTTTAGTAGGTTTAAAGTCAGATAATGATGGTGTCACTTTCTCTGAGCTCCTCAATGGACCCCAGCCAGGTCCTGAAGCCTTACAGAGTCAGGCTCTGGGTTATTGGCTCCATGGAAGATGGGAGGAAATCTCCTCTTCACCCTATGAGAAAAGCGGGACTCATGAACACACAAGCAAGAGATTCTTCCCATGTTTGATGTTAACTGTCTGAACTCATTTTCTAAGATTGCAGTAAAGAAATGCCTCAAATACAGTGACTTAAAGCATAGATGAAGCCAGAAGACAAAGGGAAAACTCAGAATGCTGATAGAGTGACAGTCCCTTGCTACTCCAGATGGAACCCGTCCTTGCCTGCTCTCCACTCTGGTAGAGCTGCCTTTCCTCTCTGCTTCGGTTTTTGGTAGGTTTATTGGCTACACCTGAATCTGTTGATATTTTAAGTAGCATGTGTGGCCCATTGGTCCCACAGTTAGCACCCAGCCCTTAGGCCAAGGCTGGCACCAGCCCTGCCACTGCCATCAAACGTAGTTTTTAACTAAGTCTCTATCATTCAATTTACCAATAAAGGTTCAGGAGTTGGATGTTGGGGTGAAAACCTGCTAGCTCAGAGAGGCCAAGAAGCTGACCTACCTTTTTGGCTGGATACCCAGCAAGAGAGCATCTCTCTAGCCATCCCCAAACAAAAAGACTACAAAACTCCAAGTCCCTCCCTACTCCTTCCTAGGCTTCTCTCTATCCATCTTTCTGTCTCCTCTGTACTCTCTTTGGCTAATTCCTGTCAACTAGCTGTTGACTCTGCCCCCTGATCAAGATTGATTTTATTAAAACAGTCTCAGGTTTCAAATGCAATGAAATACCCCACGAGAATATGTCCCTTGGCATGTAGCTGTATCATTCCCACTCTACCTGTGAGGTGGCTGTCATTCTATCAGTGTTATCTGTTTTCACATGGTCTTCCCTCTTATAAGGATCACCAATGTTAAGCATACAGCAGTGCCTCACTTGATTGCATGTGTGAATACCCTAGTTGCTAAGAAGGTCACATTCTCAGGTACAAAGGAAGGAACACCCCAACATATCTTCACAGGGACCACAGCTCACCTCCCTTACATCATTGCTGCTGCTGGCTAAGAAGTCCAAGATGAAAATCAGATTTTTAAGACAGTGCATATATATACTTTTTAAAAGTGATTTATTTCTGCTTTACTAATTTCCTTCTCTAATGATGTCTCTGAGAGACACAAATGCATATAGTTATCTGCATAGTCACCCTACAATTTCCAGCCAAGAATCTTCAAGACATAGTGCAGTCTAGCCAAGAACTCCCCATCGAGTGAAGAATAAACTTGTCTTTTCCACAGTCTCCCAAACATAGCACAGGCATAGACACACACACACACACACACACACACACACACACACACACACACACGACAGAGACAGAAAGAGAGAGAGAGAGACAGCATGCATGTACACACACTATTAGAGTAAATATAAACATAAATATAAATATAAACAGACAGGTAAGATATTTAGTTGATTTTTCTCTTATCGTTTCACCTCAGTTCCTGGTTTTTCCCTCCTTGATAATAAAATTTCTTTCAATATTGAGAACTTAAGCTACTCTATATAGTTCATTTTACTTAATATTTCTAGATGAGGTTACTTTAACAAAAAATGAAACTAGTTTAAGAATTTAATATTGTATCAAAACAGATGATACCTGTGTGGCACTATCATCAAAACAAAAAAACAGATTTATTTTATCTACCTTCTTAGTCACAAGTTGTTATGAAATATCAATATTGTTTATGAAAAAGGCAGCAAATTGGATTTTCTTTGGGGGTGATATGGCAGGCAGATAAGATGCTGACTTGGTGAGAGCCGGGGAATGAGAAATGGCGGCATAATAAAGCAAGACAAAGAGCTGAAGCAGAGACATGCACCTCTGTAAGAGCTGCATGAAGCCACAGCCGATAGAAGGCCCCAGCAGCTCCCCAGCCATGTTCCCAGTACTGCCACAGTGGCCAACAGAGAAGTGTCTGCTCCTCCTGAACAAGAGCTACAAAACCGGCAGACTAGGGAGGTACTAGCTAGACGGCGGATGCTCAAGTGGGCCTGGGTACACTGGGAAAGTTCTGGATGTAGAACCAGACATGTTTTTATTTACCCATAGCCCGATCTTATCAGTGCATGCAAACTCCATGATCTTTGAATAAGACATTTCCAGATGGCCATGAAAGACCACATGTTGTTTTGTGCAGAGGAACTTGTTAAGCAAAGTTATCATAGCATAATAGAAATAAGTAGACTGCTTACCTGCCATGGTAGAGACCCAACGATAGCATTCCATACCAGGAGGATAGATTCTAAAAGGGAAGGAGACATATGATTAACCTCAACAAAGGCCACACGCTGGTCCTCAACTTATATCATGAATACAGAGTGTTTGTGTGACCATCATACTGCCTAATTCTTACATACTCACAGTCTCATATACACTGTTTCTGGAATAATGTGGTAGCAGGTTTAATAAAACAGATGGTAACATTCAGCACAGTTAGTTGTGGTCACACAGAGGTGTGGAAGGAATTTGTTAGATGTGTAATCAATGTGACTCACTACCAAGACAGAAGTTTTGGACATTAAAGGCTTTTTCAACATTAAAAATCTACAGAGATCATTTTTGGCACTGGTTGAGGCACTTGTACATTTACAATGGATGGTATATATAGAAAAAGATAATGTCAGCTGAAGATTGACATGGTGGGAATTCTGACATTGGTTGTAACAGGACTCAGGTCATCTGCACAGTCTCTCAGAGGCTCAGTTCTCTGGCATATACAATCAGGGAATTGGATTAGGTAGTTTTGTGAAGATTTAGGATCATTATTTTTCCAGTGTCAACATAATAAATATTATTTCTTATAGCACTCATTGTGGGAGAAATGCTCAGAGAGAGAGAGCATCTCCTAATGGGACACTGGATAAATCACCTTTAGCTGTGCACTCTTTATTGTACATAAACAGTTGCTTTCTGTAGAAACCAAATTATGTCAGAAAATAAATTGAAATGAAAATTGAAAGTGGAATATTTTATTTATAGTTAATGGGCTATGTGCAGTTCATACTTATTCTGAACCAACAAATGCTGCACAGGGCATGTATTTTAATAAAACTTAATAACCGTGGGAGCAAAACAAAAAAATTAAACATGTATTTATGGAATACACCCCAGTTCCTAAGCAACAAGACATTGTTCCAATAAAAAACAAAAGTAGATAATTACAGATCCAGGTATATTTGGTCTTCTGTGTCTAAGGAAGGGTATCTGCAAGAAATAGAACTATGCATGACTCCTAAAGGCATCTTTGCATGCAGTAAAAGCAGTGCAATGCCTCCCTATGTCCTGGACTCCTGCAGACTTCAACGCACACTGTTGGCAACAGTTGATAGATGAGAGTCCATGGTTCCTGACCTAGCTTGTTGTTGTTGGAGTAATCTGTTCAGCATGTATTGCTCCATTTTGGCATTCAGGGTAGAAGCAAAAGGAAACAGAGCAGATATCAATCACTCACTCACCAACTTGGATCTCAGTCCAGTTGCCTAGAAATATCCTCAGGACAAGTCCTGTGCTGTGGCATGCCACCTGTGGAGTCAAAGGATGTCCACTGTGCTGATTTATGTAAGAACTTGGTGACTCAGAACTGGTGGAGCTTCAGTGGTGACTGAATCAGTCAGGCTCTAGATTATTCAGCTCATGATGCTACGGTGTCTACTATTCTTTAGATTCTAGCTCATTTCTCTACTAATATAAAATACTAATATATAATTTCCTACTGCTGTAAATCAAGCAATTTAAAAAAGTGGGTTTTCATTTGTCATTAAACTCTTACAATTTAAGAAACTAAAATAAACCAGTAAAGAAGTAAACAGTTGGGGGCTGACCTCTTCAAATACTGGCAGTGGGAGGCTCTCATGATGGAGTCAGGATGGAGAGGATTTCTGACTCACCAAAACTAATAATACTAAACAAAACACAGTAACATCCTGCAAGCTCAACAAAGACCAAAAATTTGGTATCCACACTTTGGAAAACCACCTCGTGTTATAATATCCATAAATTAAAATTCATAAGGAAATTTGAGTACACATATTGCTTCTACCCTAAACATTCTATTTATAATAGAATTGCTGCCAGGAAGCTTACAGGAGTATTCACTGCAGTATGGTGTTTTTTTTTAACACAACAAAAGTGGTAACAGTCTAACAGCAAATGAAAGGAGGATGGGTAAGTATGTTACAGGAAACTAAAGCATTACAAACTATACATAGTGGAAAATGAGGAAACTACGGATATATGTGTCAGTAAGAAAAAAATCTTGAAAATCATACTAAATGAAAAACATTTAAGCTGTAAGAGGACATCATTCACATGGATTTAAGAATTATTGAATATTCCTACACTGTCTTAGTTAGGCTTTCTATTGTTGTGAAGAGACACCATGACATGGCAACTCTTATAAAAGAAAACGTTTAATTGCATAGCCTATAGTTCAGAGTTTCAGTCCATTATTATCATGGTAGAACATGGAAGGACACAGGCAGACACGCTACTGGAGACATAGCTAAGAGTACTACATGCTGTGCAATTAGCGGGAAGTGGTCTGTCTCACTGAGTGTGGCTTGAGCATAAATGAAACCTCGAAGTCTGCCTCCACAGTGGCACGCATCCTCCAACAAGGCCACGCCTCCTGATGTGCCACTCCCTTTGGGGTCATTTTCCTTCAGACCACCACATACCCCGTAGTTATCAATATCTGATAACCAGCTATGCACACAAGTTCAGAACTTCATGGAAACTTCTGTAAGGGAGGTGTGGGGCAGGACTGAGGCATTATAAGAAGAGCTTGCGCTACATTTACACCCAGACACACACACACACACACACACACACACACACACACACACACACACAAGAATAAACAAAAAGGAGGTTGTCAATTTGAGTGGGCAGGAGAGGAGTTGTAGGGGTGTACCTGAGAAGTGCTGGAGGGAGAAAAGGGAAGAGATAAAGTGATGTAATTCTATTTGAATGTGCTAAATACTGAATTATACTACTTAAGTTATATTACCTATGAATCAATTTTTCTTCCTAAATATTTGGATTAGGCACAAAGTGTTTGAAAATTACATGTGTTCATTATATTATTCAGCATATTGCCTTAGAGTTGGAATAGGAACAATGAGAGATCAAATAGCCTAAGAGGTCTCAGAGGATGGCGGACGTAGAAAAGGCTAGGAGAGGACTGTCTGTACCAGTGAGAAAGTTAGCACTGGAGCAATGGCCACCAAACAAACTTCTGACTTTTAAAGTTACTTTTTTCAATTGGTGGCAAGGTAGGATATTTATCTAAATAAAAATCACCAAGAAGGTGGGATATGCAAGGAAAAGTCATAACTCGAGAGGTGGCAGTCATCAAGGATGTGAGATGGGACTGCACTCAAAGCACATGGGACATTTGACTCCTTTTTTCCCTTGTTTTAAAATTTAAATTAGAAGCAAGCTTGTTTTACATGTCAGACCCAGTTCTGTTTCTCTCCCCTCCTCCGTGCCACCGACCAACCCCCTATCTCATCCCCTTTCTGCTCCCCTGGGAGGGTGAGGCCTTCCATGGGGGATCTTCATAGTCTGTCATATCATTTGGAGCAGGGCCTAGGCCCTTCCCTTGTGTGGCTGAGAGAGTATCCCTCTATGTGGACTGGGCTTCCAAAGTCCATTCGTGTACTAGGGATAAATACTGATCCACTGCCAGAGGCCGCATAGAGTGCCCAGGCCTCCTAACTGACACCATGATCAGGGGGTCTGGGTCATTCCTATGCTGGTTTCTCAAGTATCAGTCTGGGGTCCATGAGTTCCCCTTATTCAGGTCAGCTGTGTCTATGGGTTTCTCCAGCCTGATCTTGACCCCTTTGCTCATCACTCCACCCTCTCTGAAACTGGATTCCAGAGTTCAGCTCAGTGTCTAGCTGTGGGTGTCTGCCTCTGCTTCCATCAGCTACTGGATGAAGGTAGTCATCAATCTCATTATCGGGGAAGGGTTTTTAAGGTAGCCTCTCCACTATTGTTTAGATTGTTAGTTGGCGTCATCTTTGTAGATCTCTGAACATTTCCCTAGTGCCAGATTTCTGTTTAAACTTACAATGGCTCCCTCTATTATGGCATCTCTTTTCTTGCTCTCTATTCTTCCCCTGACTCGATCTTCCTGCTCTCTCCTATCCTCCTCTCCCCTCCTCTTTCTCCTAATTCCCTGCACCCCCCCATGCTCCCAATTAGCTCAGGCAATCTGGTCCCTTTCCCTTTCTCCAGGGGACCATGTATTTCTCTCTTAGGGTTCTCCTTGTTTCCTAGCTTCTCTGGTGGTGTGAATTGTAGGCTGGTACTCCTTGGCCCTATGTCTAAAATCCATATATGAGTAAGTATATACCATGTTTGTCTTTTTGTGACTGGGTTACCTTGCTCAGGAGGGTTTCTTCTAGTTCTATCCATTTGCTTACAAATTTCAAGATTCCATTGTTTTCTTCCACTGAGTAGTATTCCATTGTGTAGATGTACCACAATTTCTCTATCCATTCTTCAGTTGATCTAGGTTGCTTCAAGGCATCTAGGCTTCTTCTAGGTTCCAGCTATTACAAATAAAGCTGCTATGAACATAGCTGAACAGATGTCCTTGTTGTATGAATGTGTATCTTTTGGGTATATGCCTAAGAGTGGGATTGCTGGATCTTGAGGTAGACTGATTCCCATTTTTCTGAGGAACCTCCATCCTTATTTCCAAAGTGGCTGTATGAGTTGGCACTCCCACCAGCAGTGGAGGAGTGTTCCCCTTTCTCCATATCCTCTCCAGCACAAATGGTCACTAGTGTTTTTGGTTTTAGCCATTCTGACAGGAGTAAGATGGTATCTCAGAATTGTTTTGATTTGCATATCCCTGATGGCTAAGGATGTTGAGTACTTTCTTAAGTGTCTCTCAGCCATTATAGACTCCTCTATTAAAAATTCTCTATTTCTGTACCCCACTTTTTAATTGGATTATTTGGTGCTTTGGTGACTAGCTTCTTGAGTTCTTTATAAATTTTTGCAACAAGCTCTCTGTCAGATGTGGGGTTAGTGAATATATCTCCCCATTCTGTGGGTTGCCTTTTTGTCTTGTTGACTGTGTCCTTTGCCTTATAGAAGCTTCTCAGTTTCAAGAGGTCCCATTTATCAATTGTCCATCTTAGTGTCTGTGCAACTAGTGTTACTTTCAGAAAGTGGTCTCCTGTATCAATTCCTTTAAGGGTACTTCCCACTTTCTTTTCTAAGAGG